TTCATCATAGCTGAATAGATTAAACTCTGTAGAAAACCATAAAATTAAAATCCAGTGAGAGAGCATGAGCTGGATGCACAACAGAAGATGCTGGCGGAAGTCCAAAATAGGCATATTCAGTCCTCAATAAGGGAAACAACAGAAATAACTGACCACATCATGAAAAAGGCACTAGGAAAGAGATGAAAGACAGAAAAGACCTGGGTTGTGCAAGAGAATATTCAACTACATAACCAAAACCAAAACTACAGGCTAGATATCAGATGGGAGAAGCAGAAGCAGATGATTACAGAAAAAAAAATAGAAAAAAAAACTCCTTGAGACAAGGGAACATATAAAGACTGACGAAGTTTTACAAGAAAACAACACTGGAAAGTCATATAATACCACTGAGGAAGCGATCAAGAAACAATACAAGAAATAATGTCAGGAACAGATACTAGGAACTTCAAACACACCTCTTGCAGCAAGACAGCAGGACACAATGAGCACTTCTACCAGTGTAGACTAAATTTCCCTCTATATAGCTAAAGCTCCTTCTTTTAATACCAGCACCAGACTAGTACGTGAATAAGAGCCAGAAGGAGTTTTGCCCATTGTCAGAGACCTAAAACCGCAACATGGCCTCGTGTATCTCAGTAAAGCAAGACAGGCAGGAAAAGCACAGTGTACCATGGCAAATGCAATAGTCTCAGCACCAGGGTTACAGTAGCCAGGGCTTGTTTCCTAAAGTTAGGAAATTGCTAGCAGGGCCCATGCAACACCTCCTGCCACCAGCTGTGTTCAGGCCTTCCCTAGCAGGTAGAGAGGCATTAGCATCTGGAAATAAGAAACTCAGAAACTTCAGCCTTGGAACAATCCTGTATTAATAGGCTCTAAAGAGCTGAAGGTGACAGACCTACAGCAACACTATTTACTGGCTATTTACTGGCAAAGATCAGTGCAAGCAAGGTCATGACTACTGTGATGTCCAGACCTTCGGTATAGGTGGAAAATACCAAAGAGAGGCGTAGTTAAGAAATGGTGGCATTATCATCACCAAATCTGGACACAGAAATGAAAAACTGTAGTCATCCTATGATAACAAATCTCACTGTTTTCCAGAATCTAGAAGGCTAAGAGTACATCTCAAGCACATCCAAGCAGGACTTCTGAGGATGGTTGCATTATCACTAATCCTATGTCAACGCAACTGAATTTATATCTTTGAATTCAGATATCTCAAATGGTTTACACAGATATCAAAAACAGTGAATAGGACTAACAGCTCCATTAGAGAAGAAGAAGTTGCAGTAATTGGGTCCCATGAGTATTTGTAAGCAGTAAGAAGATGGAAACTGGGGTGGTTCATCCATGTGATCAAACACATGCAAACAATTCTGCAGGGAAAAATCAAAAGGGAAAGAAAAGCAGAACTCCTGGGAACAGTTTGACTTAAAAACATCAGTATCTGGATGGGGAGATCTTGGAGAGATCTAAATAAAAGAATAAAAGAAATTGCAAGACAGATCTCAGTCAGTGCCTCAAGATGACACTCTTCAGAGCCTGTTTGTATTGTAAAAGGAAAGAGGAAACATTTGTAAATATTTATAACTGTTCATAACCTGGACGTGTCTTGTTCACTCGGTGAGTAATGCAAGGACACAAAACAGAGCACTGCCAGTGGTGAACCACTAGCACATATTATTAATACTTCCCTCACCCATCAAATCTTTTCAAATAATTCTGATATGTTCATTTCAGACTGCTCAAAACTGAACAATGATCTTCCTATTTTGTCCTTTATTTCCTGAAGGTGACATTTTTTTCTGTGGGTTTCCAAGTAGTAAGTAAAACAGCGGGCAATGGCAACATGTCTGGCTCACAGAACCTACTGTATTTTTGCAATCATTTTTTATTATATTTTTGTCATCCTGCCCCTCCTCTGGTGAGAGATAAAGCTCTCCTTGCTCTTCAGGTACCCCGTGTGTAGTTTCATGAGCCAGGGAAGGCAGTTTTTTTCTCCGCAATTTTCAGGATTACAGAATATTTGTGGAAAAGTGCCTGCTTGTAGCTTTTACAAAGTTGTGAATTCCTAAACATGTCAGCATCAAGTCCCTTTCCTAATCACCAACACTCATGTCAGGGAAATGTCTTCAGCTACCCACAACACATCCACAGCTGGAGAAAAACACCTCCTCCTGACTGTGTTCTCAGGGCAGGTTGCCTTAAAGGGAGCAATGGCCCTGGAGGAGGGACATTTGTACAGCTCCCCTGTTAGCTGTACAAATGCGATTTTATGCCTCTTTCCAAGAAGCAGAAACATGCGACAGAACACATTTAATGTTCTCCACAAGCACATTGCGACTGTTCCCACAAGAGATGTATTTGTCCCATAACCTGACAGCAAAGCAGACAAGCAGCGCTACCAGTGATGCCTGCTGGCAGCCAGGCAGCAGAGAGAGAGAAAACAGGTTAAGGAAGAAATCCTACAGTTCCTCCCAAGGAAGCTACTGCGTCCAAAGTGGCTCTGGCAGCGCTGCCACAGGCTGCATGGCCAGGGTAGGGTCCGTCCCTTGGATGCTTCAGCCCTGTCTCTGTTTAGAAGAAATGTGGGCAGAGAACTGGTGCTGACAGTGCCAGTACTTTGAGTAACTCTCTGAAGTAGTGTTCTTCTATTCTCACTTACTTGCAGACTAACCCAAAATTCCTCAGCACAGCTGTGGATCTCTGTACAGTGAATTCTAGCCTACTTGATTGTTTTATGACCTCTTAAAGTAGACCACAGAAGGTCAAATTTCCATACACCACTTGCTGAAAATTATTGTCCTTAAGCGCAGACAGATTGCGTAGCTATACTGCTCTAGCTGTTTAATTCCTGGTGTTTTGTGATGTTTTATGCCATTTATTTGGGAGGAGGAATAACTATATGGTTACAAAGCACTTCTATGTTGGTATCCTTCTCTGGACACCGAGAGGCATGGACTAATACAACTCTTTGATTAAAATTAAAGCTCCCAAATGATGAAGTTATCCTGGCACAGAAACAATCATTAGGACAAGTGCAAGTGCTCATGTCTGTAAACAGTTAAAGGTGCAGTGAGAGCGCTTACATCTGCAAAATGGGATGCCAAAACAAGACATGTGGGATCTTAACAGAAGAGAGTCCTTAAAAACCACCATCTGCCCAAAGGGCTTTATTTAACTGGTGGGGATTCATGTGAATTCAGAGACCCTTGGGTTTTGGTTAATTTTCTGGAACAACACTGTTTTTTGTCTTTATTTTTGTTTCCTATGTCAGAGCTGCAAAACAGATGAATTTAAACTCTAGAATTTTTTTCACTTGGTAGATCTTTAATGAAAATCCTTACCTGAAACATGATTCTTATTGTGGAAAAAAGAAAGGCTTAATGGACTTTTTTTTCCTAGTTCTGGGAGAACTGCAAGAGAAAGGGATCATTTTGCTCAAAGTATGTTTAAATTCCACATTGCAGTATGATATCAAAGAGCATGCTGAGATTGAGCTGTCTGGGTTGATCCAAAAATATTGATGTCAAGTAGGACTTATGAGAATCACACGTTGCTTGCAACTTTTTAAATGCCTACATTGGTATATTCAGCTCAAAATAGCAAATTGTTCTAGCCAATGAGAAAGAGGGAAGTAAAAAGAGGAAATACCTTGTCTGGGAAATGAACCGTGAAGCCAAAGAAAGAAACAGTGCTCGAGCAATTCTTTCCAGTGGGATTCTCTATTGGTGGAAAGACAAGAACTAGTGTTATTTCATCTGCTCATGAACGGAGCCAGCGGAGGCGAGTGCTGGGGAAATGTTCCCCTCCTACCGACACTGAAGGCCCTGCCTCGTTAGAGGAACTAATACCAAGGCAGGCAAGGCAAAGCACTGGAGAAGTTTCATAGGGCTGTGAATCATGGCAAACCAAGGAAACTGATTCATGATAGCTGAGCTTGGTGTCCACAGCAATGAACTGTGGCCTAGAAAACACCCTGCAAAGACTTTTTGGTTGCTGGCACTACTGAGCAGGTCTGGCCAGCACTTCTGCCCAAGGACTCCCGGCGGCGCTCATGTGGCACCAGCGGTACGGGGGTGCATTCCCCATTCCCTACCTCCAGCAAACAAGCGTTTCTGGAAAACCTCCACAGAATTCCTTAAATCCAACAGTCTCTGTGTGGGATTGCACATTGTACGCGCATAGACACATAGGATTTGTAGCAATATAGCCTGTAGCTACATAGCAGACTTTCCTAGACAACCAAGATGGGCAGTTACCTCCTGCAGACCCATCTCTTTCTCTCGCCTTGGGTACCCGTCAAGGTTGCAAAATGTTCCTCACCAGTCCAGTGATTTTTTTTTCTAGCTTAGCAGCCAGAAGTTCTATACTAAACATGTGAGATTTGGGCTAAACATGCTGTTACAAAGGAGGTTGCCTCAAAGGGCTTTGCAATGGTGGTACAGATTGTATTTTCCCACTTAAAGGAAAGTGCTGTTATTATATAACATGAAAAGAGGGAAAAGACAGAGGAGATGTGACTAGGTAGTGCTCATACTGCCTGTGTGACCAGGTCAGAGCCCACACACGCAGCAATGAAACAGTAATTGCTATTTTTTACTTGGAAGTGCTTTGACTATTCAGACCAAAACAGATACCAGCATGAAGAGTCACAAGGACAGCTCCATATGTACTGCTGATCTGCACTTAGGGGTTGACGTACTTGTAATGGACTGTTTGGCTGTAACTTGCTTTGTTTTGTTTTCTTCCTGTTGTTTCTGTTACTGCTACAGCCTTCTGACATCTTGAGCTAGCTGCTCAGTAAAGACAGGCTGACGCGTCTGCTAGTGTTTCTCTGAAGCATCTCTTTGCACTGAACTCTCAGAGACTTATTTCTTTAAGCCTTTTACTGGAAAACCATAGAATACCAGATATGTGAGCCCAAACTATCTTTTTTTTTTTACCATACAGATTAGAGAAAATAGTTTCTGACCACTTCTTTTGTTTTTCATCAGTTCTATACCTGGAAGGATCTGTCCTGGTGTTTGAGGATGTCTTCAAACTCGTTGCCTTCTACTGTGTCAGTAGGTGAGTTGGACTCAATCCTGCTTCCGTGCAGGACTACTTTGCTGTCCCCTCTGACCTGCCTCTCCCCTGGAGTGTGCTGGCACTTGTATGACTGAAACAAAGATGCCTAGAGCGGGAAACACAACCGGAGTGGAGCTGCTCCAAAACAAAATCTTTCTGTATTGCACCTTGTTTAGGTACGTGCAGAGCCACTGGTTTACAAGGGATTTTACCCTTTCCTTTGGAGTACAGCTTCTGAGTAGGGATCCCTGAATAGGGACTACTCTGCTTTCAGAGTAGTGTTACTGTTGTTCCAAAGAAATGAAGGTTTAAACTAGTAGTATTAAGAGCAAGAGAAGGTGCTATGAGAGCAGAGATTCTTCCTTCTTTTCTTTAAAACAAAGGGTAATGTCTGCGAAAGGTGGGAGAGAAAATATATAGCTTTGTGACTGAATTAGAAAAGAGGCCAGTGCACAATGACATGGGCACAGATGTTGGATACACACTTTCTTGGTTAAGGAAGCTGGATTCCAGTTCAGATCTTTACAGAGAGATGTCCATTTAAAAAAAGATTCTTGCATGGTTTTCAAACAAGATTCAAATTTTGCCAGTCCTGGGAAAGAAAGGTTGAAACACCCAATATTTACTGATAAGGAGTATGAGTTTTAATAGTACTGTCCCAGATGCTACACCTTGAATTGCTAAGCTACCAAAGGATTTGAGATGCTGTGTCTCCCACGAGCTCATGCAGACGGGTTTCAGACTTTGTGGCTTTCACCACCCTAGAGTCTCATTTTGTGCTTCCTGCTTTGGTTCAAACTCATAATATGATTTGGTCAAAACAATTCAAATATATAGGTATCCCACAAAACCCAGTCACAGCACAGCCCCAGGTGTTTCCTACGGTTTTACCCAAGCTCAGGTGATGCTTGCCAGAAGAGCAGGCTTTGTTGGTATTTCAGATGCTTGTTGCAATGATGGGGCCAGATCCCACAGTGTCTGTTCAGGTGTAGCAGGGCCACAGCTGTCCCTGAGAGCAGAAGAAGCTTTGACTGAGGAAGGCTCTAGGACTGCACCCACACAGGATTAGAACTACTAGAGCATGGTGAAACCATCCTGGATTAACCATCCTTTACAAGAAGCACCTTTAAGCATCCACACACACCTGGCAGTGACTTAGCAAAGCTGGTAGCAGACTCCTGATTGCTGGAAATTCAGAACACTGTCTGAACAGTCATCTTTTCTGACTGGAGGAGTCTATCAAAGGAGAAAAATCCTGAAATAATTTATGTTCATTAGCTAAAATTACGAACATAATAAAGTGACAAAAACAGACCTTGTGTGTTTGCTCAGTGCAGAAATTCCAAATACAGTTGGCACAGAGATGAGAAAGACAGTTAGGTCATCCTCATCAGTGCAAGGTTATTCACCCACTGATGAATCCCCCCCATGTACTTAAACCTGTGTTACCTACACTTGTCTTTATGCACTTGTGCCATGCATGCTACAGTGATTCTACACAACCTGCTGATGCCATCCCTGCCTTAAGAGGCCTGCTTTGGGTTTGGATGTAAACCCTCGGTGTCCCCTGAGTAAACTTAGATGAATCTTAATGTGGCAATTTCCATTTAAGCAAGGAAAGCAGAATCAGGATACAAGGCAGTCACATTAGTGACTCACACAGCAAACAGTCTATCTATGATATGATACAGTGAGCTGCAGAAATGATCATGGTTTAAGAATGAGTCTCGGGAAAAAAAAAAAAAAGAAAAGCTTTTCTATTAGCTCCTGTTGTAAATGTTGCTTCTGGGCTTCAAATATAGATCAGGTGGTTCAGATAGCTTCTTAGCTTGCTGTCAAAAGATAAGGGAATTCAGGAATAAACTTTCTGACAGAAATTAAGTAATAAAACGGCTGTTTAGGTGCTGACCTGTCATTTCCTGGCAACCTGTAAAATCTCTCCCTCTTGATGAGTTGAGAGGCCTGTGCTAGTAAATAGCTATCCATAAATAACTGGAAAGACTTTATTGTGGCTGACAAACTCTCAAGAAAAGTTTGGCTTGTTCTAGCATGATGGCTAAATCTCCTTACATCACAAAAACAACACCTGCAGTTAAGCATCTGACTCAGTTACTTGTCTGCAACCTGTCTGCCCCTTGATTATAACTAGATCTTTTTTTTTTAGGATAAATTCCTCACGTCTCCTATTTTTTAGATATATTTATCTAAAAAGAAAAAAAAAGAAAAAAATACAGCTACTTGTACATATAACAATAACAAACAAACAAAAAAGAAAAAGGCTGCCTTCTCCTCTTTTAAACTTGATATTTATCCATGAATCTATCTGCTAATAAAGGGAAAATAGGCCCCCTGCATCCATCTGTCAACAGACTGGTCCTCCTCAGTGTTGCAGTCACATGCATTTTTGGTATGTGTATGTGGCTACTTACCCCCAAGGTCAGCTTTCTCTAAAATAATCTCCTATTGCTTGCAGAACATCTTGTTAAACTTTTTAATATATAGTAGGTCCTGCACCGCTCCTTGCTGCCTTTTGAAGATTATTACTGACTTTTCAGTAATTTGCCTTGTCTTTTCTTCTTAAAGCGGGCATTGAGGTAGCAATGGGCTTAACAAGATATTACTGAGCAACAAGCAAACATAAACTGTTCAGCTAGCTCAAGATTTCCCTGAAATCATTCAGGAGTCAGGATGTGTTTTAGTGAAACTTAAATAACTGCCTCTGAGAAAGCATCTTTTATCAACAGCCATGCAGTCTCTTTCAGGAAACAAAGCAGTTAGAAGTCTGAGAAGGAAGCATATGCTCATTTTCCCAGTGCTAAGCAGAACTTTGTCACTGTCTGTTATTTCACCCAGAATGTCCTTTCCCCAGGAAGTGTCTTGCCCCCATATCTTGTTATCTGCCTGTGTCTTACACTCATGCTGACTTTTAGAGGTGGAGAGAGGGGGTAAACAGAAAGTAAAAGGACAAATCCCCTTTGCACCCAAAATAATAGCTTTTCTAATTACAATATTGCCATCTTCATTATCTCACTTTTCACTGAAAGTATTTTGAACAGTTACTGGATGGCCTCCCCTGAGACTGGACATATTGCTGCTGTTTTCACACCAAAAAAAGCAAAAACTGAAGCCAGCAAAATGGCATGAAGCATCTTCAGAGGTGCTGGTGATCTATTGTGAAATGGAGGCAACCCAGGCCAGGACAATTTAAGGATAATGATCCCTTATTGGTTGGAAGTTCTTCCTATGACAATGGGCTTGAAGTTATGAGTAAATCCAGTCACTAGAAAACAATGGTAAAATTTGAAGATCCTAACAACTATGGGTTTCATTCTTTGTTTTGTGTTTCTTTTTGCAGGGATTTACTGCCCTTCACCCTGAAGTTACCACAAGCAATATTAGAAGCCACTAGCTATGAAGATCTTGAAGTTGTCTCTAGTCTGGGGATAGGTAAGTCCATGTAGTGAAACTACCCAGCCCCTTTGGACATAAACCTCAACTTAAGTCGGACATGGAGTGTGACCTACAGTCTCGCTATAAACTGGAGGCAGAAATTACAACAACTGATGTTTAGGACGGCTTTTCAGGATAACTGACAGATATTCAAAGTAGTTGGTATGTGAGGTAAATGAAAAGAGGAAAGCATCCAGGCAGTTTTTCCCTCTGAGGAGTGTCGAGAAATGATGGAGTGTAATACTTTTTGCACACGAATTTCTGTTGCAGATTTTCTAGTTAATAGAGAAGTGTGCAGTGTCCCACGGTGTTCTCTCATCTCATGCACATAAGACTACAAAAAGGAATGCTATTTTTAGTGACAAGGCCAAGCAAGCAAATTTTATATCATATGTGTAAAGTCACACAGCTGGGGAATTAAGTTCTGTTAACTAAAGAAGGTTTATTTCCGATTTCTTCCTTTTACAGAACTTTAGACAACTGTTAAATTTAGCAAACCTCTCTCGTGCTACTTTGTTTTTCAGCTTTTCATCAGCTGTTTAAATATTTCAAGCAAGCCTGAAAGCTAAAGAGTCAGCTTGCTGAGAAATCCCGAGTAGAGCATGATGGGGCTTTTGGGATCTATTTCTGAATCTTCTGCATTATACCTCCCAGAAGGGATGGGCAAACCCCAGCAGTTTCAGTTCAGCCAGATTTGTTGAATTTGGCCAGTAGATTCTGCTCTACCACTTTCAGCATCACTTATTTTGAATAAATTTAAATTTGACAATTCTCCCTTGAGTAGATGTATCCGAGCAGTAATTATTACTTGAAGAGAATTACTTTGCAACTTTAGATAGCAACTTACAAACTTATTATCAAGTTTCTTAAAACAAGGACAAATGTTTGGATTAAAATGTAAGAAGTATTTCATGATTCTCCCACCTTTTCGTGCTGGATCAGAGCCAGCTGTGGAGGTCCTGATTCAGGCAGGTGTCTCCAGCAGCTTCTAAAAGGGAGGATTAACCAGAGTACAAACACCAATGCACTGTGCTTTGATCACCGAAGATCACCAAAGCACTTCCTTCTTCTTGCTTGTACACTGGTGTCATAAAAGTGGTGATGTCTGGATATATGCACGCCATAGTTCTCTGCATGCCAAGCTAACTTCTTGGAGTGCCGTTGTCTCAGTAGAGTCAAACAGGATGAAGTAATGAGTGTTGCTGTTTGCTGCTTTCTGAAACAAAGTCTAATGGGTAGAAATAAAATGTACCAGCCAATTTTGCACTCCCAAAAGAAGCCTTGAGTTGTTTGAAATTGTAGTGTAACAATTATCATTTCTTTCAAAGTGGTATGTATTCTTGGATGGGTGGAAATAAGATTCCCCTGCAAACTGGATTGTTCTTCAGATTAGGGATGTTACAAAGTATCAAAGAGGATACAGTGTAGACCCTCTACTCCTCATCAAGACCTTCATAGCCTGAGTTGATGGTTGCACTTTCATCATGTTTGTATGCTTGCCCTCTGCTGAGAAAAATAACCAACTTCCCTTTTGTAAATTGGCTCACTCACCATTTCCTGAGACCATGAGACTCAGCAGTCCTGTCTTCTGACTTTAGCCAGCTATTCCCACTGCTCTGCATTTCCTAGTACTCAGTGGAGTAGGAACATTTTAAGGAAATTGCACCCTAGGCCGTCTTGGAAGCCTGCATGACTTACTAGGCAGCGTGACACCATCTGTGCTGTGGCATTTACATGTCTGCAGCTGAATTCTGTTGTCAGAAGTGCTGCTGTTCCTTACAACATTTTTATTTTAAGCGTCTTTACTCTCCTTCCTCCCAGGGTAGAAAATCAGAGAATAAAGCAGTTGTAGCTTCAGCAGCCATAGGAAAGCACAGTGACATGCTTATAAAGTGGAATTAGTCATGGATCCAAGCCTAGACTATAAATCAGCAATTTTACCTTGTTATGGACAGAAGGAAAGAGAGATAATATTGAACTTTTGTAAAGTGTTTTACAAGAGGTGCCATTAGCGTTTTCCCCATTTTTCAATATGGGTAAACAGCCTCATGATCACTCTGCTACCTTCCTGGGACAGAGTGGGGACACGCATGGCATTGCTTTAGGGAGATCATGGGGTATGGAAGGTGTTCAAAGGCTGTGGGCTGAAGTGAAGAGCTTCAGAGAGCTTTTCTGAATTTGCAGGCCTTGAGCAAGGGCAGGCCAGTGGTAATGAAGAATAACCGTCTTGCTAGTGCAGTGCAGAAAGGTGGTGGGTGGGTTACACTGGATAAAACTGACACAAGCAAAATCAAAGGCACTTGACCTCCTGTCTTTGGAGAGGTCTTTTGACTCCAAACCCAACACTGAAAATGAACTTCCAGGTTTTAGCGACTCATGGCCAAATTCTTCACCTGGCTGCACGTACGGCCTCTCTCAGTAATGACAGATACAACCTTTTAATTTGCTTGCACGTAGTTTATTCTGTGGCTATCTTATATTACTGCTTTGCCAGAGGCAGGAGGGGTGACATGGAATCAGCCCTGCTAGAGGGAAGGGGACATCCGAGCGCAGGGTGGCTGGCTGGCAGAGGGAGGCCTGGCCAGCTCTCGTAGGGCTGGCAGGAAGAAGATGCTTTCCTAGGAGCTGCATGGAGTTTGTTGCAAGCAGGAAGCCACTGAAAGCCACTGTCTGCAGTGGGGAGCAGGGCTGGGAGAAGTGGCCTGCCTTTGAGGATGTGGCAGGTAGGGGAGAGATTTTATCTAAGCCAAGTTCCCGGTTAGCTTGTTTAGAGAGTTTCTTGCCTCTGTTTTAGGTTCTACTATAACCTTGCTTTAGAAACTGGAAGTCCAGTCGTGATACGTAATATATATATATACACATAAATATTTACTTGCTTCTAAAACATCAACTTCATTATCACTGAAATATTCAGCTATTCTCTACTCCTTCAGTGTAAAACTTTGACACACACATAGTGCTTTAAGGCCACATTCTTCTTTCACAGCTACAGACAGGCAGTCTCAAGGCAGGGTGCAAAACAGGCATTCATCCAGAAGTACAGGAGCTAATGCTAATTATAGTTTGGGTAAGGACGATAAAACCTTATGTTTCTGGATTCAGACCTGACATTTTTCAGTCATTTGTATTTGTTATTTGGATCTCTCTGCACAATCTGCACAGGATTGATTATTCTCTCTTATAAGGATTTCCCAAATTTGTCAAGAAATACTTTTCTGGTGAAACTTCTGATCTTGTGCCCTGTTTGAAGCATTTTACACACACAACACCATCAAATTTTTTTTCATGCTGTTTTGTGCAGAGGTGTGAAAGTTTGCATAACATGTCTTCTAATATGAAGTAGGACTTTTATATACTGGTAGCAGCTAAAATTCTCTCATTTTGGTCTATTATTTGCTTTTTTGTGTGTTTTTTTAAACAGATTTCTGGGATTCCTACTTAAATCATAGAAGAGGAGGGGAGATATCTCACCCTGCAAAGGCCTCTGCTTTCAGCACGACCCAGGCAGACAGTTTAAGACCAACCCAGTGTTTTGCAAGTAGCACAAACCACTGCTCATGTGAAATTGAGCTGTCAATAGGAAATGACAGGCTGTGGTTCGTGAATCCTATTTTTATAGAAGAGTGCAGTAATCCTTTTCCCCCACACGTACTGCCTCCAAAAAGCCATGCTGTGAGCGCCCATCTCCCCTCTGCCACCACGGTCTCTGAAAAGAGGTCCCCCCGCCGTCCGCCGCCACCTCCACCTTCTCATGGTCAAGCTCTGAAGTCCTCTCTGAAGCTCCCCCAAGATCCTATGACTGCCTGTGAAGGAAATCAGCTGCTGCTTCAACCCCTGGGAAAGAACATCAAGGAAATGAAAATTGGGGGCAGTGACAGTAAAGAAGAAGGAGGGAAGCAAAGCTGCTCAGCCAAGGAGCTGAGCCCCAAGAAGTGCTCCCAGCCCTCCGTCCCCCCGCGCAGGCGGCTGTCGGAGAGGACCTCGGATGAGAGCAGTGTGGTTAAGCCTGGAAGTTGCAAAGTGCTGAAAGGGGAACACACAGATGAAAAGCGGGAAACCAGTCCTGAGAGTGGAGATAAAAAGCTGTTGTGCAGAAAGGCTGCAGAAATGCCCAGGGAGGTTCCTGAAGGAGCCGTAGCGCAGTTTCAGGAGACAACGCCTGAACCTGCAGAGAAGAAGGAGGACATGCGAGAGGCAAAAATGAATGCCACTGAGAAAGGAAAGACACCTCCTATTCCACCACCAAGAAGGAAGAGACTTTCTCAGGCAGCAAGTATCCCCAGGTCTTGCCAGTTGAAGCAAAGAACATCTGGAGGACTGAGCTCAGCTGTGGTGGTGCCCTCATCCAAGGATGCCTCGCCATCCAAGGCTGCCGGTGCCACTTGCACAAATGCTGAGGCGGGATCGGGACGTTGCCGCAAATCCATCAACTCTGCAGAACTGAAAGGTTCGCACTCCTCCCTGGAGGGCCAAGGAGGCAATGCCGTGGCTCAGGCATCCGCATCCGAGCCAGACTCCTACTCCACCAGCAGCACAGAGGATGACCTAGAGGTGCTGGCTTTTCCATCTGGAAAAAAAACACGTTCTGTGATCTTGGGCAAGGCCAAGAACAGGCTGTCCTTTGTGAGCCTGTCTAATGTCTTCACAGTTTTTTTGTCTAGTGACAGAAAGCTGCAGAAGAAGATAGTGGAGCTGGCACAGGACAAGGATTCATACTTTGGCAACCTGGTGCGGGACTACAGAGTGTACAGTTTAGAGATGATGGCGAAGCAGAGCTCCAGCACAGAGATGCTACAAGAAATCCGGATGATGATGACTCAGCTGAAGAGTTACTTGGTGCAGAGCACTGAGTTGAAAACTTTGATAGACCCAGCTGCCTACACTGAGGAACAAATAGGTAGGTGTTTGTGCTCTATTTATCATTGGGGAAGGTTTGGGATGGTGAGGAGGGAAATGACAATAGGCAGACACAGATTCTACTTTGCAAAATTATAAACCATCTCCCAAACCTGAGGAATGTGAGCTGAAGTCTGCTTTGCAGTTGGCAATGCCTAGAGGAGCTGCTCTACAACCAAGAAACCAATGAGAGGGGAAAATCCCATTATGATTTTTTTAAGATGAAGCATTTTGTGTATATTATATATATACATACACATATTTATATGTATATATACACACATACACACATCATGCACACATATAAGTATGTGTATGACAGATACAGAAAAAGACTGTCTTCACTCAAATCGGATAAGGCAGATAACCTGCCAGCACTGCTCTGTGGCCTTCCACATCCACTGCAGCTCCACATTTTGCAGGGAAAGGCTACAATATTTTTGAATGGCAGGTTGGAGGAATCATTTGATGACACTACGTGTTCCTCAGCTCAGAAGAAGGTGGAGGAGTTACCTATTGCAGCACCACTGCTGGCCCCAAAATGTAACATCTGTCTCTCTCTGCTTCAGACATAGCTTACCTTATGGAAGGAGAAATAATCTTTTGGCTGGCTTGGGGGTGTTTTGTTGCGTTTCATGAAGTATTCTGTGGGGCAGTAATGTACTAATTCCTTCATTGCTAAAAAATGGATTATCCTAAGATTAACATACATTCATGAGAGCATAAAGAGACTGTAAAACCTTTATCCCATGCAAAGCAGTACACATAGAACATGCATGCATGTGCTTATGGACTTGTTTGAGTTGCAACTCTTTCTGGAGGACCTGGCAAGCGATGCAGAGCTATGTGTGAGATTTCCTAAGATGTTTCCAAGCAAACTGGGAGCTAGAAGACACAACATAGAAAATTGCCAACCACAGTGTGGGTCCCAGCAGCAGTATAACTGCATTAATATGGTACTCTACCCTTTCTACCTCCCTTGTTTTTGTATCAGGTATTACAAGCCATAAATACCTTATCAGGTATTTATTTCTTACGGATGAAAGCCAGACATGCATGCTCATTGCTGATGAGAGAAAAAGGTCTAAGCACTGGTTCCCAGGAAAGATGTGACAAGGGTTTCTAGGGGAACCTGCAGCGTCAGTATAAGTTGAGACAAGGCTACGTATGAGAGCCAGAACTCAGAGGAACCCAGGTGTTAGTCTCAGCAGGGCCTTCTGACTTCCTTTCTCATTCAGTCAAGGCTTCAGATGACCCTGCAGCCTCTCCAGAAGTATAGACCTGCTGCAGGCCTCTCTGACATAACTAGAAGAACAGAGCTACAACTTCCCTTTTCATGTGAATCATGTAACACATGCAATTTCTGTCCCAATAACCCCTTTCTTGGAGACAGAAAGGGGTTTCAGTGTAGAGAAAAATGTCTTGAATATTAATTAGGGAAGGCAAAGAGGAGGCGTGAAGAAGAAGTCTCCCTGTTCTGCTTGGTAGAGGTCTGTATGTGAAAGGATTCACCCACTTTCAGGCAGAAATGCTTGGTTAGATCAACTTCTGTTCAGTTCTTGTGGTTACTTAGCAGGATGATATGGCCCAGTTAGGCCAGGAGCGGACTGCCTACTCCCTAGGTAGTCAGAAAAAGAGGCTTCTGAACAGATGTTGGCATCTTCCTCTCTGCTGGTGGCTACCTCTCCCTTTTTAGTTAATGGTGCACTTGGAGGACAAAGGTAATCTAATCCCAAAGTAAGCATCCCAAATAGGGTGCTCATCCGGGCACCCATAAGTGCAGGACCATCAGATGGGGCAGCTGATAGCAGGAGCTCTGCTGCAGCTCCAGTAGCAGAGGCTGAACATCTATGTCAGTTGTAAGCCTTGCCAGTGAAGTGCCTGCTTTTTGGGATGTAACTTCTTTTCCCTGTGCTCAGCTATGTAGTTGTGCATGAAAGAATACATCTTTCTTTAGGATTTTTACTTGTAACTGTGTTGGTTATCCTCCATGGACTTTTGTGTTCTCCTTCTCTTCTCTATGTAGATGTGATTGCTGAGTCAGCTTTGTACAAATGTGTCTTGAAACCTTTAAAAGAAGCCATTGATTCTTATTTGAAAGAAATTCACACCAAAGATGGATCTTTACAGCAGCTGAAAGAAAATCAACTTGTGATACAAAACACAACTACTACTGACCTAGGCGTCACAACCAGTGTGCCTGAAACTGTTGTACTGGAAAAAATCCTTCACAAGTTCACGACCATGCACAAGGCCTACTCCCCAGAGAAGAAGATTGCCATCTTGCTGAAGTCCTGTAAGCTCATCTATGACTCCATGGCTCAGGGGAACCCAGGTACAGCATCCCTACTGAAATAACATCCTTCACTGGCCCTTCTCCAGTTCTCACAGGAACAGGACTTACGGTGCAGTAATATTTAGACTGGAGGTAACAGTGATGGTCAGTGAGTTTAGTTTTAGTTCTCCATAGGTTGCGTTAGTGACTGTGGTGTCCTCTGCCTTAATAACATTATTAGTAGTATTTGATATACGACTCAGAATCTCTCCATGTATTTTATAGCTATATACAGTTAATAGTATAAAATGTTTCACAGTTAACTTTAAGCTCCATAATTTGAAGAACCAGATAATGCCTGTAAGAACACTTTCATTTGTCGTGTTTCCCTTGCACAAGTCTTCACACTGCTCCCTTAAATCCCCATTGCTCTGTCCCAGCATGTAGCAGGTTAACAGTAAAGTCTAGGAGTGGATTTTAGGGAAAGGTCTCTTGATTTGGCCTTTCCAAAGTTCTGCCTAAATTGAGGAGGAGGGGTTGCAGAACACCGGTGCTGTTTGTTGCTAGTTCCTGATGCTCTAGTCAATTCGAAAAGCCACTCATATTTATCTGGTGCAAGTTAAGTCTGTGTTGCGAGTGTGAGTATAACCTGGGCCTCAGGCCAACCACTAAATTGACATGTTAAGCCTTTGGACTGCAGCACAGGATGCATTTTTGCAGATAGCCTAGGAAGGCCCTTCCTCCAAACCCCTGCCTTGCCTGCGGAAGGCCTCAAAAGGCCTGGCCTCTGTAAGCAGGGGGGCTGGTGACAAGCCGTGCACGTGTTTGTAGAGCAGCTCGATGTTCATTCGCAACAACTTGGCACTAGTTCAGTAAGCAACAGTCTTCAAAAGTGCTTTCAGCTACTCTGTAAGCCTGAAAACAGCCTTGGAGCATTTCCCCAGGAATTATTGTGTGCGTTTACACAGGAGTTGTGTCTCAGCTGAGGTTAGTCTCAAGGTCCTCCCTTGGACAGTTTGCAGAAAGTTTCAAGGACTGATTTGAGCACATCAACAGCAGGGCAGAGGGAGCCATGCCAGCAGGGCAGACAGGCCTTTAGGTCTGCCTTGCCTGTCTTCAGGAACTGAGGAGGTTTGGGCATGTGTAGCTGTTTTGAAATGAGTGTGTTGCTTGAGAAACTAATTTGATGTAGATCAACAAGTCACCTAAGTGTGTTGCTGAACACCTCCCCCCACCCCGGAGTCCCCATCAGTCCCCTGCTAATGGTGGTGGTGCATTTCCCATCTGCCCAGCCTTGGTGAGCTCAAAGTTGGAATTTCTCTGTTCAGGAAATGCTGCTGTTTCCATATCATGGAACAGAAATTAGAGATCAGAGGAAAAAAATGAAAATATCTAAATGCTTTAACAGATTGGTATTCATGAAATAAGGCAATTTCCTTATGGTTTGCTGTGCTAACCAAAGCACTTCATTTGGTCATCTGTACTCTTTAAGTTACTGCTTCAGGGAGGTTGTAGCTTGGAGGCCGGATTCTCCCCTGTGGGTCCAGCTCCCTGGCCAGTTTCTATGATCCCTGATCCACATCAGAGTGCAGGCAGAAGAAAACTGGCCTGGCATTAAGAGAACTGAGCCCAAGAAAACTGATAAGGTCAAGAAATGCTGTAGCATCACACCTGGAAGCCAGTGCAGTCCAAGAGAAATTCTGTAAAATGTTCTGTAGGCCTGATTAGAAACAAAATGGGTAAAACCTCCTCAACAAAATGAATTGACCGCAGATCACTTTTATCACTTTATTTTTTCATCTGGCAGAGAAAGACATTTAGCAAACTGAATTATTATTTTTTCTGACAGAAATTTCCCAAATGGTGCTAGGCAGACCGGTATGCTGCAGGCTGCTCAGACACAATTTTGCAGGGTAGGAATTACCTCTCTGCCCTCTCGCCACCTCACAGCACAGTGTCCCTTCTGCTGTCAGCCGGCGTTGAGGCAGCACTCTCTTCACACAGGAAGAGCATGGGCCATGCTCCGCTTCCTGTGTAATTGCCTGTTCTTCTTTTAGCTCCTTTTTTGCACCCCTGAATTAGTTAGTTCCCACCTCTTCCATGATCAGAGCATATGGAATACAAAACTAATTACTCCTTGTGCCAAAGGACCAAAATCAGCCTAACTCTTTCAAAAAATATCTGTTCAATACATGATAACTACTTATGTTGCCTGGTTTAATTTGCTACGTGGCAGCTCAGGATAGGTGTTTATCCCCTTTGAGCTGACTATTGGACAAACTGACCTGTGAATATGGGCTCGTATCTCAAAGCAAAGTGTGAATACCATCAGATTCTTCACGTTTTATTTCAGATTCCCAGCAAACCATTACTTTTTGAATGTTAAGATACTGGCAGCTATGTGCACTAGTTCAGCTTCAGCTAAAGTATCCTGATAGTAAGTTTTCCTTAAAACTAGGGATAGGTTCAGTCTGGAACATCTGCCCTGGTGATAGTTCTTATCTTTCTACTGTTGTAAATTATGAAACTTTGAAGGCAGCCTCGACTGGCTCTTACATCCTGTGTTTTAAGAAAGTGCTGTTCACTGGTTTAGTTCTCAAAGTATTTTAGTAATATTGCATGACAAAATCTGCCCAATAAATTGCCTGTGATTGAACCCCCAGTACCTAGACTATAAACTAAATGGATCAGATTCTAAGTTGGTTTAAACTAACAATTTTTTTCCATTAAGTGGAAGGCAATCATGTTGTAGGTCTGATGCTTCACAAGGAATCAAGAAGGCCAGTTTATAGTCATAGTCAATAGCCCTTTTTTTCCTAACAGACTTTTTAGTACAACTGCAGGATATATGTTGAAGCGGAATACTTCTACAAGTGTAACTAGCTGGTTGACACAGATGGGCATCTTGTCTGGTTTCTCATTATAGACAATGAGGATTTAGTCAATGGAGTTAACTGCAATCTGAAAATATATAACCAGCAGGTAAAGATACTAGGAGTGGCCAATAATAATACACAGAAGGAAAGTTTGGGCTCTTCATTGAAAACACAACAGAATTTTGTTGCTTTATGTGCTAGAAAAAGTAAGATAGCAATTATATGGAGCTATGAACCTCCTAGCACCTCAGCTGCCTCTGCACACCTCATTACCCACAGGCAGAGCTTTGCATGCCATTGGAACAGGTATTTATATAGAAGTACTGTAACCCCATATTAAAAAAAAAGTTTATTGTTTTATCTTCCAGACATACCTTTCTTCAGACAAACAGTGCAAGATGTTAGATTAGAACTAGATTAAGATTTAGATGGTAAGATTAGGATTAGAATTAGAATTTATGCTTTTTCCTTTGTCAAAAAAGTACAAATGAGACCTGCACAGGGATAAGCAAGATGCAACTTGGAAGTATCAAATGGTTGTGTGCTGTTTATTGGCATTGGCAAGACTGGAGCTTTTAGTAATATGCTACCTGTAGGGATGAGTTTATGAAAAATTACAGGGTGAGAAAAATGGATCAATCTTGGTCAGTCCATGACTGATGGCATGGAAATGCCCTAAGCATAGTGTGGAAACGTGACAGATGGGGAGACCTCTTTCTAATGTGATTCCAGAAGAATAAACAGAAGAGTAATTTCCTATCTGCAACACTTCTTACCTTGCTGTGAAGGTTGTGACTGGGTTGTGAAGTTTCATCCCATGTGTATCTCTGAACTGTGTATCTCCAGAGAACTGGAGTATATAGTTCATAAATGCTGCATTAGTGGGGAGCTTGGACAGGTAGGTGACCCATATGGGACATGTCTGATCTGATAACTTCTGTGGCACAGTTTTGCATGGCATAGTCTGTTTTCTGAAGATGATAGGATATATGTTACACTGGAATCTCTCTCTTCCTAGTTTTCAGGATTGGTTTTATCATCTGCCATAAATGGATATAAGTTGTCCTGATGCACCCCTTTGACAAGACACGGGTGGGAAGCACTGTATCTTGAGTGGGTTAGCTTAGGCTGCAGGAAGGAAGCTGGCCCTTGGTGCTTCAGTAGTCAATGTGGAACTAATGCTAGAAGTTCTTTAAATTGAGTCAGAATACTTCCACTGCAGGGCCTATCATCAGTACTCCCTCCTGCAAAGGAAAATGAAGCTATACGTGATTGTTCTGATTTGTTATCTTCAGGAAGAGGATATCTGTCTGATTTACTAAATTTACTGTTAATGAGGCCTGATAGACAAGAGATTTACTTTTGGCTAGTGAAATTTCTATATTTGAATTAAAGAACTGTTTCAAATTTTTCACAGGAAATAGATTCCCCTGATCTCTAGAACATACGCTTTGGAAAGGGATTCATACTGCCCACACATATTAACTCTCCTAACTCAACTATGCCGCAAATCAGACCCTGGCAAGGTAATATGGGAGGAACAGCAGAGAGCAAGATGGACAAATCTCAGTTAACTATTGGGTGCCCCAGTTTTCCCATCAAAAACTGAGGTTAAAATATGTCTTTTCTGGAGATTTGATGCTAGACATCATTCCAGTATTTGGTAAACATTACTGCAAAGTGCATGTATTCCCACTCTCTGAGGGTTGTCATAATATCCACAAAGGGAGAAGAAATGCATGAATGTGCTAAAACAGGCTCTAATTTCTTTATGGAGGCTTGGGCAGAACTCCAATTGCTTTAAATCACGTATTTAATTAATACCCTTTCCATTCAAGTACTACACCCAGACAGAAGCTGACGTTGTTCTTGCTTTGCTATAAACATAATAGGATGGGCTTGTGGCAGAAGAGAAGGCTTATTTTAAGCTTCTTATGGATATTTATGAAATAAATGTTTGCTGTTACTGGGAGCAGGGAGGAAATAAAGCAAGTCAGATTTGGTGTAGGACAACACCACTTTGGATAAGCAAGCTCAGTCCCAGAGTCACAGCGACTGCTGGCAAGGTCAGGGCTAGGTTTAACTCTGCTACCTGCAAAGAAACCCCTCTCTGGGAGACCACAGACAGAGCTAGACACCAGGTCTGGGCCCTGGCTCTGGCCCAGAGTGAAAGCAGAGCCCAGGAGGCAGCAGCTGAGGTCGAGCCCTGCTGCAGTTGCTGGTCATTGCAGCATTGACCTGTCACGGAAGGGAGATGTCCTCATTTACATACACTTCTGTGCCCCTCCGCCTAACTGCTGGTGGCATTTGAGCCACTGATGCTTTTTAGTGTGCATCTTCTCATGGTGCCTATTATCCTATGGGAGATTTGTACAGAGAACATCTCAGGACTGTGCTCAGTCTGTACATGCTTAAGATAGTCCCTGTGCGCACTCCAACATCCAAAATAAGGAGCAGAAGAGGTTTAAACTCCCTGCCCTCCTGGGCATGCAACCTTGGCTCCGTGTACAGGCAATAGAGAGAACCCACTGAGATATCTACAGTAAGTGCTCCTTGGATAGACACGATATAGCCCAGTCCGACCTGCCCTAGGCAGCATTGGAAGCTTGTGGCAACATGTGAAGTTATATCTAAAATCAGAGCTAAACCCTTGATGACTAGCTCTGCTTTTCTGTTTTTGACACCTACAGCTCCTGCTGCCTTCAGCTTTAGCTGCAGCCATGGGTATTTAGGCATCAGGCTTCATACTCCCCCAAGTAGATTAAAATGAAGTCGAGTAATTTATGCAGGTTTTGAGCATATATAACATATGGGAAATGAGCACACTTTCTATTATTGCAAACAGCCCTACTCGAGTTTATTAATCTGAAGGAAACCATGTATCAGATTTTTGTAATTAAGGCATATAAGCCTGAGACTGCAGAAACAGTTCTCCAATATTTCTATGAAATCTTAAAGTTGAGGAAGTTTTATAACAAGGGCTGGTGGGAAGAACAGCTAAATCAGCTTAGGGAAATGAGGTAGCAGATAAAAATAACTGACTCAACGCCTGCTTGTAAATACAACCATTTTTAGTCAGTAAGAGGGAAATAAAGAGATTCTGCAGGAGTCCTGAAAAAAGTGTCCTCATTTCAGTTGGCACTCAGAGTTGATGAATGGGGACACTGAACTTTTCAATTCCAAGTTGCTGTTTCCCCTGCTATATCGGTTGGTCAAACTGTTGGCTGGTAGGTGATCTCTTTAAAAAAGAGCAGATTTTTTCCCCAGTAGATAGGAATTAATGTTGTGAATTGGCAGCTTGGATGTCCTAGTAGACACAAAATGAAAAAGAAGTTGTTGTAGGGAAGAGAAAACTGTTCTTGGTGTTTCAGTGGAAATCCTTTGCTTTTTAAGGAAACAGGAGTACCCAATCCATGCCACTTGAGCACAGTTCAGTAACTACAACATGATTAGGAAAAAAAATGGCAGGAGAAATATGAGACTAGCAATCTCTTTGGTACTAGATTTCATCTTCTCTTATACTGGTTTTATGCAAAAGTAACTATATTGACATCAAGGGTGTTCTGATTCATCTGGTGAAAAGCAGATAAAAGTAGGGCTTTTCTCTGTGCACGTTTTCCAGTAAGTTTTCAGGTCTCAATTGAGTCATCTTTTTTTTTCTTTTTTTTTGTCACACAGTATTAAATACTAAAATACTAATATTAAATACTAAACTGCTGACATTATGTTCATATATATGACTGATGAATTAGACCCTCCACCTAACTGAAGCTTTCACAGAGACACAAGCCAAGGAAGCAGAGGAGAAACAAAATGTCCAGCCAGATGTTACTCAAACAATAGATCCTATTTACAGTTTGGTTGAAGGCTGTCTCATTTGACTAAAGACAACCATAGAAGAGCAAATAGAACTGAAAATGTTAATCCAGCTTCTTAAATAACTTGTGTTGTGTGTGCTGACTCTGTTAGAGCTGGAGTGAATTACAGCTCTGAGAATCATCCTCCAACACTTTGTTTTAGCTGGATCAACTCTCTGTTCACTAGATACTTTGCTGGATTTTATATAATGCCTCACTTTTTTTCTCTCTCTCCTTTTTTTTTTTTTTTTAATCGAGGAATAAGCTCATGCTTATTTGAGGCTTTAGAAGAATATGTTTCTTTGCCAGCAGAGAATCCACACTAACTATAAATGATAAATAAGGAAAGCTGACTCATGGCAAAGATTTGAAATAAGTCAGTGGGAACATTTGAGAAGGAGGAATTTATTGCATGCTATGGAAGGGCATGTGGGCTACAAACCAAAAAAACGATCGGGACATAATTTCACTGAAGCTACATCAGGGATAACTGATTTCTGGGAGTAGACAGACAGTTCTGAAGCAAGATGATCATGGCTGGTTCCAAACCAATGAAACCAATACATCCTAATGCATGGATGAGAACATCCAGGATGAAAATAATCTGGGCTTAAGTAAGAAGAAAGTTCATTCCTGAGTGTTGAAAAGATCAGTCTGTTAAGCAGTGTTGTCCAGGATGAATTGGTGACGTTGGTAGAAAGTGAAAGCATCATATGCATATTTGTGTGAAAGCATCTTTCAAATAAGCTGGCTGTGCTTTCTTTGTAGCTTATGTGGTAGAACTTTGTTTGGGTTCTATTTTAAGCAATAATTATTTATAATGATGACTGTCAGCATGTATGATATTTTTGTCCGCAGGGATCCTAAAGAGCTTTTACAGATAACATATAATATCTGTTTGTTGACTTTGCTGATTTGAATGTTTTAAGCACAGGAAATTTGTTCCTGTAGCACCTGCTGCACAGCCATCTACAAGCTAGTCCTTTCCAAATATGAAAGGTTTTTTGTTTTCTCACCTCGACACTTTGACTGGAACGATGCTTCCCCTTAGAACCTGACTCTTGTGAGGCCAGTTTAATTAGGAACATGTAGAAAAACAATCACAGAAGTCGTCAGTTTTACAAACCACTGTCTCAAACCCTCTTTTTAAACTCTTCTGTCCCCAACACAGAGCACACCTAAGAATAAGTACCCTTAACTCCTGTAGCAGCTTTACTGCTACTACTGCAAATTTGAATTACACTTCTGATGCCAGTGTCAAATCAGAGGGTCAAAATAACAGTATTCAGCCTCTGCATCCTTTTAGTTTTGCCCCTTGTTTTGGCTCCATGATGACTACATTTTTTTTTTCCAGCTAATGACAAAAAATAGAACCCAGTAAGAGTATTCAAGCTCATATTATGAGCTAGAAGGAATTTTACTTACTCTTTGTTTGTTTGTTTGTTTGTTTTTCTCTTTTGTTTCCTTAATGGCATATTTGAGCTTTAACTCTTCAGATAGTTTAAACCAACATGGTGGGTGAGAAGCCGTCACTGCTGAGTAGGAACGTGCCTTGATGATGGTGGGTTTATTGGAACCACTCTGTGTTTCTCGTTGTTCAGGGAAACCATATGGTGCAGATGACTTCCTCCCTGTGCTCATGTATGTGTTGGCCCGAAGCAACTTGGCTGAAGTCCTTCTGAATGTGGAGTACATGATGGAGCTCATGGACCCTGCTCTGCAGCTAGGGGAAGGTAGAGTACAGCGTTTTGGGCATAACAGAGAATATCTTAGGATGTTGAAGTGAACATCTTAGGATGTTCTCTGTGGAAATTATTATTTACTTCAGTATTTGTGAAAGTGTAGGGGGGCAGGTCTCTAGCTAGGCTTTGTGGCTAAGCTTCAGACAACCTGCTCAAAATTGAGGCTCTAACATGATTGCTAAATGATTCAGATGTTTTTAATAGTGTTGAGTGGCCTTCGGTGCTCTTAGAAGTCAGCTAGAAAGGCAGGCACCCAATGCAGATGAGAATTAATTTGCCCTGTTAGTAACCTACACAGGATATTTAGAGTTCCTTAGCCTGAAGGCTGAGAAGTTGAGGCCTAGGTCCAGAACTAAACTGCTGCAATCTATTGTGCCAGCACTTATTTATTGCAATGAGAAAACAACACATTTCTTAAACTTTATTGTATGCTTGGGGCCATATGTCATTCCTACGCCCTGTATTTGAATAAACATTTCCCAGTCCTTCCCTAGAGTATGAAGAGTGAGGCAGAGAAAGGGAAGTAGGGTTAGGGAAGACTCCTGGGTGCAAATGTGAATAAAGAGCTGTTATTAAAGGGGTGAATACCACAGGGAATTTTAGGCTTTTTTCTTCTCAGTTACAGCCTGGGAAACAAGCGCTACTAACAGTGACAGGGCTGTGCACTCTGAATTAGGAACACCGATCTTTTTTTTTTTTTTTTGCCAAATAGCTGCCAAACCAACAAGGTATGTTCTGTTTTAGACTTGATTTTATTAAGTGCTGGGGCTGTAGAAAGGAGTCCTGGATGAACAATAGCAAACTAACATTATTTATGTTAAGTGTAAGTCTGTGTCTAAGAGCTTGTTACCCAGTACAGAGCAGAGCACAGCAGTTCTATTAGCAAGT